CTAACAGTGTTACCCATAGCGACATATGGGAGGAGCTAATATAACAGCATATACTATAACATATACATATTAAAATGTAATTGTGTGAAGCGCGCCGGGCTGTCCTACGCGCGTAAGACAGCCTGATGCACGCTTATTCGCGGATCTTTGTTACTTAAAATCTCGGTAACTATTGCAAATCTAGCAAAATGGTATAGGACTTTTCACCTCAGTTTTATTCCTTCTACTTGTGTACGAGAGATGTTAAACCAATTCTGGGACACCCTGTATATATATTTAAAAAGCACATTCACGCACAACATCCTGCGAACGGCTCTAATTGTCTCTATATTCAGATATTATTAGTTTAATAAAAACTGTGTTCGTTTCGTTAACGCGATATCTTTTCAGATACCACAAATCTGTCACTTTCTACATTTGACGAGAGAATCTCTTAACGTACCTCAGTTATCTATGTACGAGATGGAGAGAATGTTGTTGATGCCGCGAGCCTCGAAGCAACTGGCAAACGTTATGACATGTTTGCTGAGGTTAATGCATTTAGTTTGCATCTAGACTTATACCTTTAGTGATACAAAAAGAGTGAAAAAAATAAATAAATAAATAAAAGCAATTTCTTGGTTTTAATTATAGCTCGCCGATCACAAAAGCAAAACTACACAAAGTACCGCCAATGCCATACGAATTTTGGACCAACATACTCGCATATAAAATAGCGTGTTGGTTCAAAGTTTATTACTCGAAGCATAAAGATCCAGCCAAGGTATGTACTTGTATAAGCTTGATTTACAAATGCTATTTATAGCTTTATGTCAATTATAACATTTTAAAAACATCATATATATGATAGAAAACATACATCACAGTGACCAGAAACATGAACAAAGATTTTTAGGTTCTAGACTCTATCGGCGTCGAGCCGGAATTCTGGAGCCTCTTCCCCGATGGGTTTTCACTCGATGGCAAAGATTTCGAAGATCTAAGCTTCAAACAAAGAGTCTGGCTGCTGAAAACCGTCTGTGATACAATTATGGTGAGTTCGTGACAATTCTGAAAAACAAAAAAGAGTTCTTTTAAAGAAAATTCTTAGAGAGTATGAGATTAACAAAAAAAATCAAATCTCTTGGATTAAATATATGTTATGTTCCTTGTAGCATACTCGAAAAGCAGTTCAGGAAGACATAGCGAAGCAACCGTGGTTGTGTCAGTTCGAAACGGTTTTAGGATTTGATCGCTATGGGGCGAGATACATTCATTTTCCGCAATTCCTTCCGAATGACTTTAGAATTTATAGACATTGTCTGGACAATAATGTTCTATCGACCGCCAAGGTAATTTCCTTATCTTCATGACACCTGAGAAATGTAATTTTTATCATGTGGTTATCAAAATTCACACAAAATATACTTAAAAAACTACTAAAATTTATATTACCTGCGATTTTCTATGTAATTTTAAACTGCAAATTGCACTTTGCAGCTCGTTAAATCGGAACAGGAAAGCGAAGAGGCGAAGAGTTTCAAATCGAACATAATTGCTGTGAGACTGAACAAGTGCAGAAAAGGGAAATCACAGTATTACAACAATAACGATTTGTCCAACCACAAGTCAAACAGGCAGGAGACAGCCAGCAAGAGCAACGATAAAGATCTCAACAGTTTCAAGTGCAACGACAGCGCCGTGAATTCGTTTATCAGCGAGGACACGAACTTGAGCAGTACGAGTACGTGCAGTAACAACAACGTGAATTCGAACGTTGCGAAGAGAAATCGTTGCAGAAGTTTGTCAAAAACGTCTGACGAGAGTATATTGTCGAATGCGAGATCTAGTGGTTACGACACTACCACATTCAGTGAGAAATCCGTTTTCGACGAGTCTTCACAGATGTTCAAAGGATTTGCCAATACCGAGACCGACAACTGTAGCATAGGAATAATTAAAGAGATGTTGAATGATTTGAAGTCGGAAATTGACGAAGAGAAGAAAGCGAACAAACGCGAGAGCAACAGTGACAGCGAATTGGAGTCGAAAGACAATAATAGTACAACACTTTCGTGCAAGAGTACAACGAATTGCGATGTAACGCTAACTTGCGAGAAAGACGAGACCAAGAGCTTTTGGGACAATTTGTCCAGCAGTTTGAAGACTGACGATGAAAAATTAAAAGAGATAATCGATTCGGGCGGTTCCAAGTTACCTGAAAACATGTATCTTAAAAGTCTTTCGGCTGTTGATGATTTTAGTGATAGTTCAACCATAACGTGCAAATCGGACGACGAAAAACTAAGCGAAACGAAAAACAGCGATAGTACTCTTAGCGCGATCGAGAATAACGATAGAAAAGTAACTTTTACCAGATCGTTTTGTGCGTCCTCTAGTAGTAGCGAGTCGTTGAACAAAGACGTGACTAAACGCGAACATTTCGGTAAAACGAAGATTTTGCGATCGGTGACTAAGGCAAAATTAAACAATTCGGAAGAGACGGAAACAGTTCCGAAGAGAAATTTAAGGAAGAGAACGAGACTGCGATCTCATTACAAAAGAATACAGTCCGAGATAAACGCGAATAAAAAAGAAAGTAAAATTGTCAACGCGATGAAAGATGAAGGAAAAGTGTTACGAAGTGACAAAACGGATGAGACAATCAAAAGCGATATTGAGGATTCGGATGATTCTACAAATAATATTCGTTACAACTTGCAAAACTCGAACAATCCGAAGACGGAAGAACGCCAGGAACATTTCAATAAGATCCTGTCAGATCTTAGTGTTTCTGATTTTCATTTGGTGGCCGACAGTGTGGACGGACTGCGAGATCTAATCTCTGTTTTTAAAACGCGTAACTCGGAAACCAATAACGCCGACAGTGTAAGTTTATTGGAATTAACGCCGACAATATGGTACATTTTATTTGATAAGAATACGTTTATACTTTCAGACAAAAGAAACATCTACGTGCGAAACGAAATTGTTAGAAAAGCTCATCGAATTGTTAAACAACGTAGAATCGATAGAAACGATTGCAAAGGATGCCACACGAAAAGCGAGAGCAAAGCTTCAAAGAGAGTGGTTTAATTTTAAGGAAGGGTACGTATAGAACAAACGCATTTTTCATCTGCAGAAAATAATTGGACATCATTCCTCAAAATTTCATACATCATCACACATTAAAACGATCATGAAAAACATAATGCCATAACGTCGTACATCTCGCTACATCATTTATAGTTTAATAAACGTAAATAAATTTCTTCAATCAATGAAAAAAAATCCAACACCTGTGCGTTTTCGCAATTTTTATATTTTTATAGTTGTATTATTTTTATTGTGCCTAAGGAATGCGAAAAATATTGACAATATCTGTTGTCTTATATTGTCGCGCATGAATAAACGTGTAAATATACGTGATCAACGTAAGAGCGACGTGATCAAACTTAACGAACTCAGATGTACCGATGTCTATCTCTCGAGATTGCTTGATGATACATGTGTGATTTGTCTTGTGGCGGCTGGTGTCCACTCTGTTCAGTAACTTTTTTTTTTTTTTAAATCTTTGTCGAGCGTGAATGGCAGACAAGCTGGTGGTGTGTTGTAGCATTGTGGAAGATCAGGATTCATCGGGTGAGGGTGGTCTCAGCTCTAATTGGTGGATTCTTGGATCGCAGGGCAGGGATCCACTGTCAACTACCGGAGACCCAACGTTACAAACGTTACCGCGATCTGCCCTATCCGCATCTGGCGCCCAAAACGCCCAGCCGTCATCAGACGAGAACAAAGACAAGGACGCGATCAAGAGCGTCGATGAGCAGAGTCGCCGCGATAGCCGGGAAGCGAGCGACGATCGACGAAACGACGACGGAAACAGTGAGAAACAGACGGAGGATGAGGTATCGTCGGGAAGAAACCAGCCGAACAAGAAACAAGAAGAGAAGCAAAAGCACAAACAACAAGATAAAAAGAGCGAGGACGCGTCAATCGACGAAGGTATACTTCCCCGTCTTTTATTTTCTGTCTCGATTGTATTGTCTTTTTCACGTAAATTGAAAAACAACAACAATTCTTCGCAGACACAGAGCAACAGACACGACGAGTATTACGAGCGCGGGGTGTCTCCTCGTACACAGAACAGCTTTATTCAGATTACGAGACCGACGAGGACGAGCTGGAAGAATGGGCCGACGTTGAGGCAGTCTACGCGGCTCCCGGCACACAGGCAGATACATCCGTTGCTCACGCTACTCCCAAGGTCCGACACGCTGACGACTGGTCGGAGCAGGAGGACTCAGATCAAGATTGGATTCTACCGGGCACTCGCAAAAGGAAAAATAAACGTCCGTGTGAGTCTTCTGAGAAAACTGTTCTTTCTGTCAGCAATAGGATTTTTTTGGAACATTTGCGATTTGTTTTTTTATGATAAAATCTCATTAACGCTCATTAATTTCAATATAAGAAAATAATATTAACAGCAGAAAATGTTTGACAATCTCATCCCGTGACGATCTTTCTCTTGTGACCGTAATGAAATTTGTATTGTTTGCAGCTGCCAATCGAAGATTAAAGTCGTTCCAGCACAAAATGCAAACCATTAAAGAAAATACTTCTCAGACCAACGCGCAGTCTAATCGGATCGTATCTCCGGACAATCTGAAAATCTGTAAGGACAAACTCAGGGCTAAACTCAAAAATCCTGGTACCGTCAATGTACCTTTAACAAAAAACAACGTCTATTCAGGGAACAAGAAAACATCACCTCCCAATAATCCGATCTGCAAAATCGACAGCGTGCATTCCGAGCTGGACATCAAAGAGGATCCGATTTACGAATCCGCTGCAGAAACTACAAACTACGAGCAGAACAGTTACGATCCGATGAATCCGCAACAGAACTATTACTACGTGATACCGCACAATCCCGGGATTTCGGGAGAGTCGCAAAACGCTCCGCTCGTTCAGACGAACACGTTCGTTCAGGAAATGACACCGCAAGTCCCGGCACAGGCGTATTATGTGCTACCGGGTGCGCAGCCGAATTACGTGATGCAGAACTCGTCGGCGAATCTTCTTTCCGCTACCGAACAGCAACCTGTCTTTCAGCAACATCAGTCTGTTTATCAGTCGCAGAGCTGCTCGCCGATGATGGTGACGCAGTCGTATGTCAACAACGTGAATTGCATGTCTTACGGCGGTCATGTGATCGCCTCGGTACAGCCGTCCTCGATTGCGCCTCGGTCACCGATGATAAACTCGCAAAATTCAATTCCCACGTCGAAACCGCAGAACAGGCTTCTCGCGCCACAGCCGAAACTTTCTTATCCGAATTATCCCAGAGGTGCGGTGATAAGAAGCAGTAATCCACCTGTTAGGGGCGCTTGTAACCGACCCGCGAATCCAAGAGGATTCGTCGCGAGAGGCATGGGTCCACGATCGCGCATGTCCAATCCTCAATCTGTCCAGGCAGCGCCGAGGCAACAAACGCCACAGATTTCCATTACAGAGAAATCCAGCGGCCAGAAAACCACGTCACTGATCGTACTCAGCGATGACGACGATGAGATCGAGATGATCATCACGGAGAAAACTCCTCCCGACACTGCTTCGGCTGTAGAGAAATCAACGTCTCGAAAAACAGTCGATCAACAGTCCAGGCAGAAGCCTAGAATCACCTCGGATATCACTCTCGCCTCATCAAAGAGCATTATTCCGCCACAAATTATTCAACGTATGAGTCAAGGCGGTATATCCATCACGCCGATAAAAAATACTCCTCCACCGCAGGCAAACACCAACACGCAGTTGGTAGTTGTAGTGAACGAGACAGGTAGTCATTACGCGTTGGCGTTACCAAATGGCAGCAAGCTCATACTCACGCCGGAGCAAGTAGCGCAAATCAGGGCCTCAAACGGGGGAAAACTGATTTTGTAACGTACAGTCTAACATACAAAAGGCCAGTCTTTTATCTGCGAATCTATTCTATAACTTTTAACGCAGGCGTTATGTATCTTTGCGCAAACAAAATAAATCACAAAATAGCTGCGCAACGTTACATTAACGACAACGAATGATGTCGTTATAAAGTTACAGAATAATAAGGCTAGGACATCATGCGAATCATGCTTGTTCTTGTTTCGATTTCTCCGATTTTTCGCAATTAACGATAGATACGTAGATGTGATACTTAACGAATTGACGATTTTGTTTTCACATTTTGTCAAATTAGTTTATTAGATTTGATAATATAAGAAAATTAAAGTAACCTACTGGCCATTCGCAGTGTTGCGCTGTGTTATGCACCCAAACAATCGAATTGTCACGAGGACAGATAGAAATTTATTAAATACACATTTCTTCTCAAAGTACATATCACCGTGATCTGAAAAAAAAAAGTTGTACTTTCTGAAGATTCTTCGAATATATTTATATTCAGAAAAAAAAAAGAAGAAAAAAAGTAGTGTTAAGTAAGAGTTCCTTGAGTATTATACAATTTTACGAATGATTATTTTTATAGCTTTGATTAGTTCTCTTGCGCGCGCGATGTACAGTTTATATATTAATTGCAATGTAACTCTTGTGCAAATATATATATATATATAATAGTTTATTAAGATTTTCTATCCTTTTTGTAATTTCGTTGTATCTCAGTTTTGAGTACTAACACATTCGCTGTCACGTATTTAAGTTTGACGTACGAAATTAATGATTAAAGCATTATTTTATGTTATACCAATAACTCTAAAAGGCAGGATGAGAAATAAACATGCCTTAACATTTACTAGACTTAGAGAATCTCACACAATAGTCAATATATCTAACTAAACACTGCACGTTTCAATATGCAATAAAGTCACATATATCTATAAAAGCGATGTGGTAGCGAATGTGTTAATATATCACGTGGATACTAGACATTCTTTACGATTCTGTGACTCTAGTTATTAATTTGCGTAATTCTTATCTGAAAGTTTGTCAAACATACAAATGTAAATAATTACAATTAACTATGTATTTATATATTGTTGAATTGTATCTATTAAATTCTTCATAACAAAACATGAATATAAAGTTAAACTACTATATTGACGAAATACTAAGCTAAAGAATATATGTGCAATTCTACTTTAGAAATATATAGAGATTACGATCTGTGAAATTCAAAAATGAATATCACACGATACTGCAAGTGAAAAATTAAATTTGTTCAAAATATCGGACGCTTTTTTGTTTCAACAATATCATTAATTCAATGTACTTTTTGTATTACATAAGAATATTATTTATTTGTAATATCAAATATTAAACATTCTTAAGCTTGCAACACACGATGCTGTTTTTCGTGCTAGGAAGTACGTCCAAAAGTAATTAATTGTAATTTAGAAATCAAACAATTGTCAAATTGATGTTGCGTGCCGCAGGCTTTATTTATTGATTAACAATGTACAAAAATAATTATAGATTATATTTCTTTAATACATTACTCTCTCTTTATTTCATATAAAGCTATATATAAACAGACATACAATTGTATTTTATAAAATAAACAAATTGTCTTCAAAGGAAAATAAGCTTTTATATAAAATTATTCATTTATATTAAATTAAGTAAAAATCTCATTAATTCTCAAATATTTCACGAGAATATTATGACGAATAAATAAGTGATAAGATAAATTAAGAAGTCAGGAGCGGGTCCGGCCCGATCAAAAAGATTCGAGATGCAATTCGTTAATTGGATTATACAGGAACCATCATCAGTAGCAATATTACTTTTATTTTATTAATAGTTGCCTATTAGTCGTCGTCTAACTTGAAAATCTATTCTGTCAATGTATATATCTGTTGATTGCATCAACAATGACTTCCCTCGCGTCCTTGGACGCAAAGCCGCTCTCCTTTACTAACTTGATTTTTCTCTTGAATGTACGGTAAATCTTTATCGAAGGCCAAGAACTTGTACAGACGTGTCCCGTTATAAGGCGTGCCACTTCCTGGTGGATGAAGTCTCATCTAAAACAAAAGCCGACATATTGGATAATCACGACGCATGACGAATACATTATAGCGGAAACAATCAATTCGCGTGCAATTTACATTTTTCCTCTTATATTTAATATAGTGCTGATTCATTATTCACTTGAATTTGAAAGATCTACATACCACGTGCCTGCTGAGTTTTCGTTGTGTTTTTCTTCGATAACACAGTTCTACAAAAATAGACCATTTTTGAAGGACTTGAACGAACAAAGTGTTTTTCGATGGATTTTTGGTCGTTAAAAAAAATCCGACGACGAAATTGGCTTTTTGGCTATATTTACCATTATTTTGCGGTCAAACTACATTTTGTTTTGCAATTTTACTTACGCCATATTAAAGTGCTATCTTTTATCTATAATATGAATTTATATTTATTTACACGGTACGATTTTTTTTTCATATACATAATTATCATATAATAAATCAGTAACTTGAAAATGATTATTACATGAAAAAAAGTTTTGCTGTTATATAGTCAAGCAAGAAAAATGGTTGAATTTATGAAATTTTTTGCTTTATCAACAACATGTTTTTGTTGGCAAAACAAAAATCTTAATATTAGCAAATATTTTTTTGCTGGCTGTATAGTAACTAATTTCTTGCTCTAACAAATCTTTTTTTTCCGTGCACTATTTATGGATGTATGAAATATAAAAATTTATGAATTACAATAGTAAGAAATACACAATTTCACAAGATAATCGGAATGCCAAAGTGCGTATAACTACCCAGCAAACAATTTCTGACTGCGCGACCTGGCAACAGAAACTGTGTGCAGAAACGCTACAATACGGAAACATTATGCTTTGTGTGCTGCCAAAGCTGTTAACACACAAAAAACGCAACATGGGATGCGGTCAACGTCTCACTGCAAATGTTTCCAAAGTATCATTCTATCTTTATTCTACATTTAACGAGAAATAAAGATAGAACGATGCTTCAAAACATTTGCAGTAAAGCTTTGACCGCACTCATGGTCACCAAAACTCACCAAAATCATATCTTACTGAGGACACAGATGGATATGGATTTGGTGTACTAATTTCGCCGGCGGTTGGCGACAAAACTGCGACATCTCGCAACCAAATTGTTTGCTGGATACGTTCCTGTCTAGCAAAAATATTATCTGTATCTAATTTAATGATTTATAATATGTTATATATATTAAAAAAAAACAAATTGTTCATATTACAGATGAAAGATAGCACTTTAATGTGGTGTAAGTAAAATTGCAGGAAACATTTTAGTTCGGCCGCAAAAAAATATAAATATAGCCAAAAAATATAAAAATGCCAATTTTGGCACATTTAACCTCAATTTTCTCGGAAACTGAACGTGGTAAGAGGTCGTTTTCATCGCCGGATTCGTCTTCAGCGAACAAAAATTTATTAGAAAACATTTTCTTTATTCAGGTCCCAAAAAAATGTATTGAACAGTGTAACAATCGAAGTGAAAACAAATTTGACTGCAAAATAATTTACTGTAAATAATGTTTATTTATACTGCTACATTTATTTATAATATGCAATGTAAAATCCTTCATACAAAATACTTATGTGTGTACATAGTATGATATGTACGTATAAAAAAAATAATTCATTTACGAAATTTGACAAAAGTGTGTTCATTAGCCAGATTTTATCTCGGTGCAAATGATTTTCTTTTAAAGATTGTTAGATCGACTTCATTCAAGATATTCTAAAATTAATTATTATCCATAAGCGAGGTAAATGGCAACACATTACTAATGTGATACTTGATATCGCAATGACTGGCATTGCTAAATTATCTATGTATATTTGAAGGCAGCAATCTTTAATTTGCACAGCTTTGTCTGAAGATTAATAAGAAATTATATACCCAGCTCCGTGTGTGTGTGTGTGTGTGTGTGTGTTGCAGTTAGTTTTATTAAGAATATTACAAGCTCTAAAAATTCCCTCTTATAACAAGACTTAATGTACGGAATATCATATCTGCATTTTATCGTATTTTACGTTTTTAAATAAAATCGAAAACGCGCAATTGTGCTATTTTGAAACTATTTGATTAATTAGACACCCCACCGTATACACGCTTTTGTTAATTATTTCTTCATTATTCATTTCTTTATATTGAATACTTGGAATAACAGTAATTTAATTTGGTACAATATATATGAAGAAATGAATAATTAACTGAGATTTTCAAGCGAGAACTACGAGTTACTGTGTCATCAATAAAAATAACTATATATATATATATATATTAGGTCTACCGGAAAGTTCTGTCCGTTTTTGGAATAAAACAAAAATACAACTTTTTCTTACCGTCAATAAATTTTATTAAGTAATATAATTGCCATTATTATTAATGATTTCTTGCCAGCGTGAGGGCAATTTGTATATCCCATTTTTGAAAAATTAAGAAAAATTTGTATTTTATTGTTTTATTTCAAAAACGGACAGAACTTTCCGTTAGACCTAATATATATATATATATATATAAAATATTAATTTATATATATATATATGTATATATAAAATATTAATTGTGAATGTGTCGAGTTCTCCGATGCTCGCGCGCAGCGGCAGCCAAGGCATTAGTATGGTATGTGACTGATTTTATTTTCGAAATTATGATTTGGCGTGCGCGTAGATTTTGTTTGCGGTCGTGCAGCATCACATTCATCTCGTTCTATTTCTCGATGTAGTCGTTGTCAGTGGCTTTCGCATCCCCGTCCTGATTACTGAATCGCTTCTGCAACGAAAAAAACACCAACACCAGTCCGTTACACGCAATTATGTTATACAATGATAGCATGGAATTGGATAATTTCGTCTTTCTTTTCGTCTAAGGCCTGGTTTATGCGAGCAATAACTGTTAACTTATGCCGGAACCGGTAGAGTTTAACTATAGGATTCCAATACTTCTGTTTATACGCATTCGGCAATTTCGTATAAACAGAAGTATTAAAATCATATAGTTAAACTTTACCGGTTCCGGCATAAGTTAACAGTTATTGCTCGCATAAACCAGGCCTAACATAATGTAAGATTAATTCTCGATTGCAACAAGCACGCAAATTAGCGTTCTAGCTCGGCGATAACGCTTGACATAATTAATTAACGAACGCAATCAAATAAATTCGATGACAAATTGCTTGGAATTTTTTATTATCAAAAATATATCTATGTGTGAACCGTGTGCTTTTGAAGGATTGTTTGTACCTAGCCAAGTTTTACCCATAAATTCTCCGATTTCGAGTAAATTCGGTGACTCTATACACTCACCATAATTCTGTACTTTTCTTTACACGCGTATTCGGTCTCGTCCACGTCGTTGTAACAGTCGCTTTTGTAATCTTCGGGAATCGGCCGACCCTCAAACTGACATAGTCTAGAGAGCGGGCGTGCCTTCACCAGCATCTTCTCAAAACCAATCGGTTTGTGTTGCGGACAGTAAAATACGTCCGGAGTGTTCTTGTCAAAGACAATACTCTTGCGCATTATATCCCCGCATTGCGCCGTAATAAGAAGCATCTGTTACAGATATGAATATTTATAGCTGGAAAAGAACTTGATTGAAAAAGATCCGATAATTCGCTAATTTTATACAGGGTTATATATTAACAGGAAAACAAAATTAAGTTTCGTTTTCGGTTTCACACCGGGAAGTTTTTCGCGCTCTTTTTGACAAAAAATTTTATTTACGTGCAATTAATTAATCACATCTTTTTTCCACGGCTGCGGATAGTCGTTGTTTCAACTTTCTGTTCACAGGAAAATTCCCGTGCTAATAATGCGCGAGAAAACGATACGGCTTCCGTATGTGCAAGAAGCATATAAACAAAACGCATTCTGGAGTATGTTTGGTGATGACGATCAAAAGTTCGGCCACTTACAGCGAGTACGACGAGCAAGCTGCAGACGTAAATGTTCCCTGTGAAAGAACAAAAAAAAAGTAATACAGCTAGCGTGAAAAACTCGACTGCAACGTATAAGTGTTCCAAAGAGAAAAAAAAATAGAGAAAGGACTATTTACTGGCGGCGGTCTTGCGCAAATAAACTTTGAACGATCTTGTCATTAAATATAGAAAAAAATGTCGAGAACAAAGAATAAAGCGCTGGAAAAAAAAACGAAAATTTCTTTAACAAAAATTGTATGTTTTTGTTCAATGAATCAAATTTTTAATTGCCAAAAAATAATCTATAAAAATTAGTTTTTCCCGATTGTTAGCAAATTATTTGTGCGTTCACAAGAGATCGAACAATTCTAAAGAATGATTTAAATAATAGCTGATTAGATTTTTGTTTCTTTTTTTCATATTCGATGCGTTTATAGCAATGGAAACTTGTTTACGTTACGATAAAAATCTTCAAACGTCCGCTAATAAATGTACTAAAATCTGAATAATATTTCTTCCACACAATAATCACGATTACGACTCTCGATAAAAGCGGCATATAAACATGTTTTTTCTTCTCACAAGCTAATTATCATACGCATTTTCCCACCTTTCGATTCTGGGTCAGTGTTGTTCACCGTCGCGTATCTTCTCGCATAACGCACATATTTTTTTTCACGGCCAATATGTATGACCAGAGTCGCGGAGAAGCGTTCCACGCGCGAGAGAGAACGTTTCTTACTTGTGTTTCGACGTTGCTTCAAAAGTTAATCGAACGTAATTTTTGACTTTATAAACGTGGCCCACAAGACTTTCTCCGTTTCATTTACGCAACGTCGTGGTCATGCATATATATACAACATGTGTCCTTAGACTCGGGTCAGTTGCATTCGAATAAATTCACATCACTGAACCGTCACATGTCACTGAATTAAAAAATGTTTCCAATATTTCACGCAAACGTATTAAATTATACTTAAATTTCTCAAAGAAACGATGAATATCACGCAGAAGAAATATCATGCTCGAAATGTTGATAAAACATGGTTGCATGAATATCAAAACGCCTTTGACATTTTCACCTCGAGAACTCTCATTTATCTTTGGCATTTCACGCAGCATCCACGAATCAAATAGAATGTAATGTAATTGCGAGAAAAAAATTTAATATTAAATATTATATATTATAATATTTCTTTCTTTGATATATCCTTCTCTTCGACCCATTTTTCCATGTATCGATTTGTATATTGTACATACACAGTTATATACATATATCGTAAAACAAAACAGAAAAATTTTTAAAGATTTTTTAATAAAAAAGATTTAAAAAAATGTTTTAATAGTTTCTTTTAATTTTACAAAATTTGAATCTAATTTGGAGATAGCTAAAAAAAAAGAGCAAACATATATATTAAGCTAATCTACAATTGTCTCTTCATAAAATATTTTTAATGACTGCTTGTAACAAAAAATTAACAACAAGAAATATATAAGGCTGTACGAGCTATTCGCAGGATGTTTGTGCGGAAAACTGCGTGTATATATATATATATACCCATGTAACAAATTCTACTTGTAAATTTTTACAAGTGTTTTTTTAATTGAAATCTCAATTCTTAAATTCACACGGAATGCTGGATTTGCATTACAAAAAATTAAATTAAAAACTTTTTTTAAACATCTTTGTGTATAAAAGTTTATCAAGAAAATCTCACTCAAAATGACGATGTTTGCTCTCTCAAATTTATATAAAAGAATATGTAAGTTTATTCTACACGCGCTTATAGTGTCGGAAAAAAGATGTGTAGAATCCGCAACAAAAACAGGATTCCGGTGCAACGCGTTGCTCGAAATTATTCGTGTATCACAAGCGCAACATTTATGTTATTACGTTCGATTGAAGATTTTTAGAGAACGCAAATATACTCTTTTCCTCGTGAGTATCAGAAATAGGACTTACTCAAATAAGTTATCGAAATCGCGCACCTCGACTTACCCATGCTGTTCTCGGGCGGCCGATTGTTGGCTCGCATCTGTTGATCTTCGTGACGCGGCGTCTTCTCGTCGACTACAGACTGAACCGCTGCGCACCGCTGTGGTCCGTGACTTATCCGCCTGTTGGTGACAGACATAGCAGCTTACGGGGTCTCACATCTGAGGTCTTGCACACAAAGAGAATTGTAATACCAATAACAAAAGCAATGTTAAAATACTTAGTACGAATATTTATAAAATTATACCATTACTTAAAAAATTGACTTTAATGTACAAACAATCTACAAACGTATTAACTTTGAAAAAAATCATGATAAAAAACTTATATTTTTCCGATCGATGTTTATAAAACAAAATATTGAATCGAATCAAAAATTTTCTGTATGTAAAACTATTTTATCTTAGTTTAGTAACTTGGCTAATAATAACGTTGCCTTCCGAATTATGTCATGTCCAGAGTATCGAGAAGACTCTTGATTTTATACTGCTGAATACAGAATGTTTCAACCGTGCGAAAATTGTGTTGCCGAGGAACAGCGCGTTTCACAAACAATCGGCGCCGCGCTAAATCTCTCTTTCCTTTTATAGATGTAGAAATTGTTGAGCGTCATCCTCGCGAATCAAGTCGATGAAATAATTAAAGAAATAAGTAGGAGTAGAGAGACGCTAGATTGTGTAGAAATCAATTTTCTGAGCATATTACTTATATGCGTAATAACACTGTTTACTTTCATATATAAATCTTTATTTTGCATGTTTTGTAATGTTCGTGCGTGCAACTAAAAAATTGACGTTTTGCATGTCGAGTGTCATTTTGAACAATCATTTAACACATGATAAAAGAAAATTTTTTATACAAACTTCCTATTTGTCTTAAAATATATTTTCTAATATTTTTTACTTAACTCTTCGACTTTATATACACAATAATGTATATAAATGTAAATAAAATTTATATACACTAACTATTCATTCTAATGCTTAGAGAGAGATGTTCGATAAGCTTGAAATAAAAAAAAAAGAGGTAGGCGTCACGTAGGAGGAAGAGTCGTTCTTTCCTTATACAATCAGCACAAATAGCATTGTTATTTCTTGGCGTAAAAAAAAAAGATATAAGAATTCTACTTTACATTCTCCAAAATAAAATTTGTATATACGATTCTTAGTAGTTAGTTTATTATACCTTCAGCCTAACGGCCTAGAAGGGGACTTGGTTACATTTCTTACAACTTTCTTACAATTCTCTTTCTACATTTATCTTATCCTATTACATATCTCATTTTTTGCGAACGCCTGTTATTTTTATTACCCTTCCCGCTCTGTCTAGACTCTTCTCTCCTTCTCATTTCTATATATATCCTACTCTTTAAAATATATACTCTACCACATACAACATATACAAAGTATCTCAGCTTTGGTTTGTTTTGATTTACCCTATCTTGTCTTGCACATACTCCCTCTTCTATTCCTCCTTCGTAATCCTATTTCCTATATCCTATATCCTATATTACATATATTACATATATTACATATAATACATATTACATATATTACATCAACTTATATTATCTCAGTTCATTTATTATTTTCTTCTCTACCCTTATCTCTTATACGTTCCTAGTCTGAGTCTTATTTCTTGATGTTTAGATTTCCTTCCTCGTCCTCCTTCCTTACATGTAATATATCTTCTTCATAACCTGTTTCTACTATCTTCCGGCGGCTTTCTTTCCATTCTTTCTTTATTCCTGCTATTAAATCTCCCCTTGCTCTTCCTTTGCTTCTTGCCTTTGTAGCGTGTCTCAATTTTGCTTTCCTCTGTTTTCTTTCCTTAGTTTCCTCTTCTTGGCCTCCCTCTAGTTCTCCTCTTCTCTAACCTCCTTATCCTCCAGCTCCTTGAATTCTTCTTCTCTCCGTTTTCCTGCCTCCATTTCTCTCTGTATATCTCTCCATTGTCTCCAATTTCCTTTAACCTTTACTTTTCCTGTTTCTATTTTCACCTCCTCTCCTTTTTCCCTCTTTTCTTTCGCCCACCTGTAGATTTCCTCCTGAATTTTTCTTTCCTCCCATGACAAGTCATTCTGGATAAATATATTTTCTCCTTTCAGCTTGTTTTTATTTTCCATCACCGCTCTCTTTTCTTCTTCACTGCTTAGTTTAATTACTATAACCTTGTTGCTTACTCTACCATGTTCCACGTTGCAATCCAGCCTTAATTTATTCTTGAAAAAGAATTTTGCCCATCTCTTCGGATCTTCCTTTATCAATTTTAATTCTTTCTCCTCTACTATCCCTTTCACTACCACATTCTTCCTTCTTTCCTCTTTTTCTTTGTCGGAAATAATACTTTTTATTTTGTTTATCTCTCTTACGCTTAACCTATCCACGCTTCTTTCCGATGTAGAACCTACGTAGCTGTTCATAATTCTGCTTACTGCACTCGCTGCACTTGCTACGCTTTTCCGCACATTTCCTCTCTTTCCGATAGCCAGTATCCCTCTCTCTTCTTCTCTTTCCTTCATTTCTCTGGCTACTTTACCTACTTCTTCCATCCTTTCTTCCAGTATCCTTATCCTGATTTCCCATATTTGCTCTTTCTTTTTTCATTCTTCCCTGAATTCTTTGGATCTCTTCTTTTCTAGCTCTAATTCGGACCTTATCTTCTCTACACTTTTCCCGCACATTTCCTCTCTTTCCGATAGCCAGTATCCCTCTCTCTCTTCGTCTCTTTCCTTCATTTCTTTGGCTACTTTATCTACTTCTTCCATCCTTTCTTCCAGTATCCTTATCCTGATTTCCCATATTCGCTCTTTCTTTTTCCATTCTTCCCTGAATTCTTTGGATCTCTTCTTTGCTAGCTCTAATTCGGACCTTATCTTCTCTACACTTTCTATTTCACCCTCCTCCCCTCGTCTTCTTCTTGTCTCCATCTCCGTAATTGTCACCTTTTTCTTTCCCGTCTTACTCGTCTCCTTTCCTCCTATCGGAAACTCTAATTGTCTTTGTTTCTCTTCTTTCTCTTTCCTAAGTTTTGTCGGTCTTCCTACCTTTCCCGCCTCCGCACCTTTTGCCGCCATAACCTCTTATCTCCCGCCTTCCTTTCCTTCCTGTTTTCTCTTCCCTCTTCTATCCGATCACCTTGCCTTTATTTCTCCACCTATTTCTTTAACTTCCACGTCTATTTCTACTACTTTCATTAACTTTCCTATTCTCTTTGTCTAGCTAAATCTCTATTATATCGCACGTTCCCACAACCATGTATGTGCTCACGCACGCCCCCTAACCAAGTCCTACGATTCTTATAGCGATTTCGGCTGGTCTGCACCGGTGTGCCACCTGTGTAGAGTTGGTGCAATTGTTTGCAACACCGCATCGGTGTGTGTACTGATTACACTAACTGGCTCCGACTAATTTGTGAGAGCCACTTTGTGTACACCCAACATGCACCTATGCGGTGTACTGAGCTCAGACGAATACGCGGAACCAGCAAAGAACTGCTGCCATTCGACCAGACGAACACACAATTTGCACCGACACCCAAAATGTGCAGTCGGTGCAAACCAGCCGAAATCGCTATTAGTAAAATATTACGTAACATATACACATATCTTAATGTTAATAAAAATAAAAATTTTCAAATTTATTTTTATTACAAAATATCATATAATAGTGTCACATAATTAGCGATAATGATAAAAAACCTGCAATTAATAAAATAGTTACTGCCGGCAGCTCTTTTACAAATCAGCCTGTAATATATAAAAAGGTTTATAAATTTCATAAACTTCAATGTGTTATATTTAAAAAAAAAAAAAAAGATTCGATACATAATATAGTATAATATAAAAAGTTATTTAACTTACAATCTCATCAAAATCGAATTTGCACACGTTGGATACATCTGTGTTTTTCGATTCTTCGATTTTATCTTTTTTAGAATCTGTTTTGTTTTCTATGGTCGATTGTTGAGTTACAGTGTCATTATCAGTTTGTGTATCCTCGGCCGACCTTTTGCGCCTAAAGAAATAATATATATATAGCAATATATTTGTTAGAATAATAATTTGCAATTATTCTACTTTTACGGAGAATACACCGACTTTTTGAGAGGTTTCTTTTTTTCCAGAGAGAACAAATCGTTGATTCTGTTTTTCACCAGTTCGCATCTTTCTTTCACGAATTCTGGTTGCTCTAACAGATTTTTCACATCATCAGCGACCGGCGGCAGTGGTTTATTTGGATTGAGCGCGCGAGCCGATAACATGTCCCACACGTTTTGTGCTCCAGGATCCGGCATATATCCTGGCAAATACTTCTCACTGATATTGTTTGTATCGTCGTCGCTGACAAAACAAATTGAAAAATCCGACAAAATTTTATTAATTTATAAATTATACATGTGTGATTTACGTAAAAATATTGAATTTATATACACTTACGCGTCCGGTAATTCTAAAGACTCCAGCAGATCATTTATAGCTTTGTTCTGATCTTTCGACAGTTGCCTCATTACGAATTTCAATGGTCTCGGTGTTATCGCCTCGTAATCTTGCTCGAATGGCAGGCCGATCTCAATAAGACACTGTCATAAAAAAACATGTTATTAAAATGAAATTATTCCCGTTAGCACAAATGACTATAGATGTTATTACCCAAGGTTCACTTGGTACGTCGACGCTAGGGAACAGTGCCATCATATTAGCTTCCGAAGCTTGTCTGTAGACTTTCTCCACTATGGCGACTACGTTTTTGTTCACCATTGCTTGTACCAAACTGTAGAACGGTGCACTTACCGACTATACATAAGTAAATTTGTCTTATCTATTTCATTAAAACATTTAAGTGTACGTATTGCTATTAAATAAAAAAAACGACTTCACTACCTCGTTAGCCGGTACAATAACATACGAGCCGTCCGAGAGCCAATATTCCATAGGAATGTTTTTCTTCGCAGTGAAAGCGTGTATCTTGTAACACTTTTCAGTACTTATGTGAGTCATGTTAGTTTTGGATTCATCTATGTAAATTAGCATATATTCTATGTACATATTATTCAATTAACTCTATATTATAGCTAAAACAAAATATAGAGTTAAACCTGAAACGGGAATAGCTCTGCCGCCGTACACGTAACCGGAGATAGTATTATCTCTCGTGTGAACAACCCTATTATTGTCCGTCCATTGAGCGACATTCTTAATTGGTCTATCTTGCTCGTCAGGCACGCCAGACGTACTGGCCTCTTGTACAAATTTTGGAAACGTCACTTCATTTGGCATCTTGAAACACAAAAATGCTCGGTTTTAGTTTTGTCTAGTTAAGAAAATATACAAATTATAATTGTTTTACATGTGAACAGTTTACTTTCGATATTCCAGCGATTGGTATACTGAAGTCACCTAGTATCATATGACAGTGCCATGGATTGGGTCTTGTAGATGGCCGTTTGTAGAAACGTACATCGGACGTGGCGAGTTCAAACGTAAGATACTGACCGTCGGTCTATAAATACATATAAAAAAGTTGTTATAAATTAAAAACTAATACGCACATTATTTCTTCTCTGTGTTTGTAACAACCTTTTCCAGAACTTCCATAAGCAATGCCTCACTGGCCGTTAGAGAATTTTTGCCTAAATTTTCCAGTGTTCTTTCTCCACTGTGCAATACAGATCATGCAATTTTTATCTCAATTTTTTAATTATTACTGTTGATAGTAAAAAAACAAGAGATTTAATTCTTAACACATACACTGCTATAAGCAAGATTCCTTCTGAGCTTAATTCGTCTGCAATCCTATCTACTTCAAATTGATTCACAATCTCTTCTTCTTCATTGAAATCAGAGAACAACAGTATTTTTCTTTCAGTATTTTGGTTTCTTAAATAAAAATCACAATGAATTTAGTTAATTTGGCATTACTTGTAAACAAAAAATCAATGTTAAAACCGTTGGTAATGTACTTACACACATTCACGTTTAATGTAATCTACTGCAATATGAAGTGCTTCCATCCAGGAACAACTTTGATTTGTAGGTTTCAACTTTTCAATAGTTTCTATTAAATCCCAATTTCCAATTTGCATGCTACATAGCTCCTCCACATTGTCCTCTCCTGATCCCATTAACACCACTCCTATTTCATCTTTGGGACGCAGAAATATCTACATAGACAATGTGATTACACTTTCAATATAAAAACACAATTAAGTATACAACAATATGTGATATAAAATAATTTATATACCTTTTTTTGAATAGTATGTTTCAGAATAAATTTTGTTTTATTCAGCAATTGTGAATCATTTTGCATGCCATGTCGAACAACGCCAACATTCACAAGAAAAATTATACTTTCCTAAATATGACAAAAGAGATTAAGATTTAAGAAAATATATATAATTTCAAATTTCTCAATAAACAAACTTGTTTAAAATGTGCATATTTGTTTTCAATCTATATTTTTATTTCTTTTATTGCGTTTACTGACAGATCATTTATTTCATTTATGTCAACACAAGTGATTCTTCTGGTTTTCCAATTAAAGAATATATATATATATGTATGTGTATAACCTTTTTTATTGGCGGCATTGTCGATGGCAAATGTTGTTAAATCCACTTGATTTGTAATGAAAATATTTTTTTAACGCAACACTATCTTTCTGTTTTGATTTCCGTTTGATCATACATATATTTCAATTTACTGATAAGAAACACCGTAGCTTCAGCTTCGCACTTTAATCACGTGAGGTCTCCAACATCAATTTTTATCTCATGTCTCACAATCTCGTCATTGCCTGTCATTGTTGAGTCTGCTCTTCTTGTCTACCAACTCGAAAAAAATACAAAATGCCACTTGGATCTCATGCGCGACTAATTCTATCAATAAACTTGGTTTTGCTGATGATATACACGAGTGTGGGAGAAAATAAATATTCTGCCGAAGCAAACAAATCGAAATATGCGGATTCTTCGCAACCACCGATTTCTCTCAGAGACTTGGACAAACCATTCAGAATGGCCAAGTTGAACGTAGTTTGGGCTAAGGCAAAAAATGTGAGTTTGTTAGATTTCATAAAGATTAAAGTTTTAAAAATACATTTATACATATAAAAATTACACAATTATATGTTTTTAGCGTCTAACAGATATCAAATTACAATCGATCTTCAGCGATTTAAAAATTCACGACAAGGAAGAAATCGCGTACAAACATTACAAATCCGACGGAAAAGATTCGGAAGGTTTGGAAGAAGCACGTCTGAGGAAAAAACTTATTGGTAATTTTGCTTCTTATTTTAAGCTCTGTGTTTTACTGTATCCAATTTTGTAATCTCATGATAAAACTGTATCTTACCAAAGGAATAATGAGCACTTACGATTTGCTGGAACACTTTGCCGAGACTGAAGATCCAAAACTGCTTAAACAGCACAAACCGTTAAATGATGGTAGCAATTACGTAGCTAAAGATATTTTTCAGGATACCAGACTGAACAAATTATGGGCCAAAGCTGAAATGGCTGGTTTTACTGGTACATTCTTCCATATCAATATAAAAGCCAATGCATTTTAGATGAAAATTTATATATAATACATATATATATATATTTTTTTTTTTTTCTAGATGAGGAGCTCAAAACTTTGAAACAAGAATTTCAACATCATCAAGATAAAGTAGATGAATACTTGAGTTTATTGAAAGAACAGTCTGGAGATAAAGAAAAATCTGAAAGTTAGTTTTATGTGGTAATCTTAAAAAAAATTTATATTTTTCATTTCTTTGCTTATTTAAAAATTTATATATTAATTGTGCACACTTTTCAAATATTTTTAGATGCGTTACATCTTAAACCAGAAAGTTGGAACGAATTGGAAGAAAGAGAGGAATTATCCAATGATATATTAGAACAGAAATTAAGTCATACAGAAAAAGCAAATTTACTTCGGTATGTATGTAATATTTTATACAGAGAACACCGGAGTTAACCTTTACCTGCATTTCAGGAAAAAACACTTGGAACTGAAAAATGGATTCGATCGCTTAGATAGACTCACTGCAAAAGGACCAAACCACAGAGACTTTGTAGAACCTAAAGTACAGGATTTATGGAGAACTGCCCTGAGAGCAAACTTTACTTCTGATGAACTGAGATCTTTAAAAGTAATAAACTAGAAATAAAATATAGAAATAATAGACTTTGTTAATTTGTGTAACTGCTGAAAAAATTGTTTTACAATTTATATTGTAAGTAAACTGAGTGTGTTAATATCTTTAATAAGATACATATTACATACTTTGCAGGAAGAATTATTGCATTATGAATCACGATTACTCAAAGTACGGCACTTGCATACTGAAGCAGCTTTGGAGGCGGCGGAAAAAGGGCAACTTCACGATCTAGACGCTTCAGAGCAACATATAAAAAAACACATTAGAACTGTACAAAAACTTCATAATGACCTGGAAACCAAAATTATGCAGAGACACACGGAACTATAATAGATTGTAAAAAGTATTAAGATACAAATGTGTTAAAAATATGTACAATTTATTTCATACAAAATAGTAAAAAAACAAAAAAGATCTATTATGTACAATAAAATGTAGATTTTTAAATAAATATTTAATTGTATCATGTTTCTGAAAATTAAGAGTACAAATAATGTTGATAAATCTGTGATAAAAGTTTACATATGTGTTACGCACTTCGTACAAGTTATTAAGAGATGTTCATGCATTTGGATATATTATATTAAATTATAATATATAAGACATATTACTGAGTTTTTGTTCTACATTATAGTGGTATCTCTTGTGAACAACCTATAGAGTTTTTTTATTTTCATCTGAGTCGCGAGAGTACAGTAGGGAGCACCATATCGTGCGGCTCCAGGGGAAGTATTTCTCGGAAATTTCTTCTTTAGCTGCTCCTATTACTGCGCGCTCTTCTCCTACGATCTTGGACCGTTGGCGGAGACCGAAGAAGAATGGCGCGCGATAGTGTAGAGCATCCAAAGAAGAAATTCCCGAAAAATATTCCCTCTGGAACCGCACGATATGATGCTCCCTACTGTACATATAAAAAAAATGGAAGAATTTGATGTTGCTTGAGAATATAGTGTATCTATAATAATAAAATTGATATAAATAAACTCGTAAAAGAATAATAAGCTAATGATTGAAAAGAAAGGATCACAACGATCACACGAATTATACGCTTTAACCTTTACGCTGCCGGAGCGTCTATATATAGACGCTGTTGAGCAGCCTATCAAAACATGCATACACTTCCACAAGAAGTATATATAAATACGTATAAGTACTTATATATATGTACACACATACACGAATCCAATCCGAATTACCATAGAAAGATTTCTCAAAAGTAATTAAAAAAAAAATTTTTTTTTAATTAAAAAATAAACAACAAAAAAACATGATAAAAACAAAACTAAACTAAACAAGAACAAAAAAAAAAAAAAAAAGATTGGAGCCACAATATCTATCTACGTCCCTGCCATTGATGGGGTAACGCTGAAGGAGAGTCATACAGCCCTAAAAATTTACTGTACTCAAAAACTAACTTCACTATCGTTTTTAATGACCTCAAAAACCTAAAAAAAAAACGGATTTTTAAACAAAATAAAATTTTTTAATTTTCTCCGGTCCAATACGCTGCCGGAAGGTCTATATATAGACCCTACCTATGATCGCAACTTTATATAAGTTATATAAAAGATACAACCACAAAATTTGGGAATTTCCTAAGGGACATAATGCTCTTCAAATCCCGGCAGCGTAAAGGTTAATAATTATTAATCATCGCTCTTGTTCATGCGTTGTTGCGCGTTTTAGGTCTATTGATATCAAATTTAATTTACAATCGTGAGAGTGTTGTTTGTCACAAATACGTTACATTTCTATAACAATTCAATCACTAAATATTAAATTTACAGTCCAGTGGCAGACTTCCTGTTGTTGACTTTCTTTTTTTCCTTCGATTTGATCTGATCTTTTGACGCGACTAGTTTCTCGCACTCGCACCAAGGTGTGCTGGATTTGTCGCACAGCAAAGAGATATTAATCACTGTTATCGGTGTGTCCGATATAGTCATTTTAATTGTATCTAATATTTTGTAAGAGACATTATTCAAGCCAGTCTGTCGATCCCGTTTTCTAGTAACTTCTCGTTGATTATAACATTTCACCATATCTCTTTTTCTATGATTTCTATCGTGAATATGTCTGTAACATTTGTTTCAAAATGTAATAACTAAGAAATTAGTGAATTATTACAGTATTTTAAATTTATAATTTATAAAAGATATGCATAGAGCTAGTAAAATAATAAAATTGTTACAATAAAACAAAGTATACTTGCTTGAATGTATTATGTGTTCCTGTTGATATATTTTGTGGTCGGCTGATGCTCAAGCCAGCCTGTTTCAATCTGACGTAGAACTCATCATCTTCAAGTCCCCAACCCCAATACTTGTTGGACATTCCGTTCACTTGGACAAAATGTTCTCTGCAAAAATCACAAATTTCATCAGCAAAAGACCGATGTAATCAGCACTTTCTTTACTGCGTTTAAAATGTACCTTTTAATCAATAATATCCCACCAATAAATGTGAGATAATGATAACGAGGATGCAATTCTGGCGAAGAAATGTGATGAGGTCCTGCGCTTGGATATGCATACGATAATTGATCATTCATAGGCAGTAAATCTACATCGTGCATTGCAATGTAATCAAAGGTTTTCTCCGTTTGAAGAAAGCCTACATTTATAAGAGACGCTCTGTTGAATCTAAATCTATCCATCTGTAAAAGATACAGAGACTTAAATATCGCCTGTTTGTTCATTTCTTTTGTACATCTTTATGATTAATATATACCTGATTTAATACAAATATATGATAATCTATGTTCTGCTTGTCTAAGAATTGGTGTATGTGTGGTACAAATATCAATAGCTCCTCAAAACGATCCCTAAATGGCACCAATACAGCTAGACGATGTTCTGATTTCTTTTTGCGCTCAACATTTTGATCAGCCACTTGTTTGAGATGACTTGATTGAGTAGCCATTTCACATTTGCACTCATCTGAAATGATAAAAATCACATTTAAGATGGACTCAGTTTTATAATACTATTGTCAAATATTTTTATGTATCATATACAAATTACTTTATATATATGCTAATAATATGCTAATATGCTAATCAATACAGTAATAACTAACCAATGCTGATGGGTGATATGCTGATTATACAGGATGTAACAAAGGTGGTCAGGATACAAGCAAAAATGTATTTGAATCTTATGCTCTTCCAAATATTGTTCATAATGAGCATTCTTCATGGAAAGATTAAGATCAAAAAATATAAAATATAAGCACTGGTTATTAGTTAACAGACAAAAAGTTTTTTGTTTCTTTCAAGACATGTTTTAATAACATTCTTTCTTTTTTCTTTTAAAGTTTGTCTAGTTTTTTTTACTAATTCATATATAATGACAAAAGTAACATATATGTACTATATGTGTACTTATAAGTCTTAAATTTTTCTTGCAGATCACGTAGAATGTGAATAAAACTATCACAAAATGTGAATAATACTTAAAATTTATTGCAAAGCACTTTGTGCATATCTTTCAAAATTGACATTCAACATTTTTTTGCACTGTTGATCAATCGTATTTCTGTGTTTTCCAAGTTCGTGTAGATATATAATTTGTATACGAGTTTTTATTTATTCAGCAGCGTTTCTTCGTTGTGGAACGAAATATTTTTAAGTTGTGTTATCTCGAACGAAAAAATCTTCTGTGTACGTTTGTGCAAAATATGCACATTCTTCGCGAACTCACGAGCATTATGTATCTCTACAATTCGCGCGTGCATTATTATTTTGCGCTCTTCTAGATAATCGCCGAAAAGTACATCATTTATTCTGATTTATTCCGGCAATCGTAATATGACGTAATGTGAATTTGTGAGATTCCGCACTTGCTCGATATTCCAGTACCTTGCAGACAGACGTTGTCAGCAGTGGGTACTCTGGTTTCCCTTCAACCATGGCTGCGTTCGTTTTTTACTGGCAGTACTGAAAATCTATAGATTCATGTCACGTATACTATAGATTTTTCAGTACTGCCAGTAATAACCGAACAGGGCCCATGGCTGCGTTCGTTTTTTACTGGCAGTACTGGCAGTACTGAAAATTTCGTTTTGTTTTAAGAGCCGTCTACAATGGAGAGTTGTAGACCGTAATAGTAAGAAATTGACCAATCACAGGCAAAGTACAGAAGAATAATCGATTGTGATTTGTCAGTTTCTTACTGTTACAGTCTAAAACCAGAGAGAAACCTGAGAGCGGCCATCCTATTGTAATTTTTTACGACGGTTTCAGACGCTGGTTTTAGCCGTATTTCCACAAAAGTGGAACTCAAAGGCCGTTCTCCATGAAACTCAAGAAGCAGGTCTCGTGGAACTGATCAATCACGTTGGTCGATTGGCTGATATGACTCTGCAATTGGTCAATTCCACGAGATCAGATACTTGCGTTTAATGTAGAACGGCCTTTGAGTTCCACTTTTGTGGAAATACGGCTAAAACCAGCGGCTGAAACCGTCGTAAAAAATTACAATAAGATAGCCGATCTCAGGTTTCTCTCTAGGTAAGACGTAAGGTTCTTGGGGTTCTTTTATTTTTGTACATACACTTCTGGCGTATGGACTATCTTGAGTCGGTCCTTTGAGCCATATATGCACCAAACCAAACCTTTTTGTACATACAAGTAATTATTTCGCATTTTTTAACACAGGCCTAGTTTACACCGATCGTTTAATACGCGTATTAAGTACTATATTCGTATTAAATCGGCTTGGTCTCAATAATGTAAACAATGTCATATTAAGCTGATACGATACACCTTTTTCACGCGTATCGTATCAAAATTATGCGCGTATCAAGCACGTTTATAAAGAGCCGTCTACAATGGAGAGTTGTAGGCCGTAATAGTAAGAAATTGACCAATCACAGACAAAGTACAGAAGAATAATCGATTGTGATTTGTCAATTTCTTACTGTTACGGTCTAAAACTCTCCATTGTAGACGACCCTTAATGGCTGTGTTTCAAATTTACTGCCAGCACGCTGCCAGTGCTAGAATTGTATAATATATGTGACTTAAACTATATATCTTTAGCGCTGGCAGTGAATTTTGAAACACAGCCAATGATGTAAACACCAAAATTATACATTGACAAACAACTTTTATTTGATTCAGTATCAAAAAGATGTACGGTATAAACTAGGTTACATGTCTTTCATTGGCTAACAGTAAGGCAGTAGGTCAGATAAGCTATGCCACTTTCAGTATATATGTTCTAAGATATATATCTAATTTAAGTTTCACAATTGTAATACACATAAATAATTATAGGAAAACCAAAACTAAAACTTAAGCAGAGAAACAACATAGAAGAGAGATTTTAGAGAAAAACAGATGCAACCTGAGCACTATTTTTACCATGAACTATAACAATACAAGCTCTAGATTAACATGTGCAGTTCGTGAAGGAAACCTAGAAAGAGCAAGGGAGCTAATTACTTCTTTTGGACTATCTTATTCAGAAGCATGGTTAGGAGGATATGCTTTACTTTGTGATGCTATTAGGAAGAAGCATACACAAGTTATTAAACTACTTTTAACAAATGGTTCTAAAGTTAACGGCAACACTGACAAGTTTGATAATACTCCACTTCATTTTGCTGTTCTAAATGGTGACATAGAAATTGTTAAGATGCTTCTAGACAGACGTGCTAATGTTAATGCTACAACTTGGCAAGGCACAACTCCCCTTCACTATGCAATTGAAAATAAGAAAATAGAAATTGCTGAATTACTTTTAAATCATGGAGCTAACGTTAACGCCAGTACCAAGAACGGTATAACTTTTCATAGTGCAGCTGAGAAAAGATATTTACAGATTGATGAACATCTTGTAAATCATGGAATTTATATTAATTCTACATATATCTATTCCTTTACACCAGGTAATACACCACTGTTTCTTGCTGTTAAAAGAGGACATGTAGATGCTGTTAAGATGCTTATGGACAGAGGTTCTAACGTCAATGCTGAAACTTGGAATGGCACAACTCTCCTTCACTATGCGATTGTAACTAATGAAATAAAAATTGCGGAATTACTTTTAAATCATGGAGTTAACGTTAACGCCAGTACCACTTCCGGTATAACTCTTCCTCATATTGCAGCTAAGAAAAGATTTTTACAGATTGATATGAACATCTTTTAAAACATGGAGTTTATATTAATTATACATATATCTATTCTTTTACACCAGGTAATACACCACTATATTTTGCTGTTAAAAACAGACATGTAAAAGGTGTTACGATGCTGTTAGACAGAGATGCTAACATTAATTCTATATTATGTAGGGATTATTTTGACCTTTATTGTGGCATCAATAGTTGTGTACCAGTTGCTGAGATTCTTACACAGCATATAGTTAAAATGAAAACTGCAAATTTCTACGTAAGTGAACAATTAGTGTCAATGAGTAACAATTATGAAATAAGATATTTACAGGATATATGTGAAAAAGAAGTAGTAGTCATGAAGAATGAGAAAATTAGTAATTCTAACATTTCATTTTATGATATTTTGATAAAAGATACAAATCCATTAGCAAAATATATGAGAAATAAAAGTGTAGTGCAGGTTTTAAGATCAGAAGATTATAAAACAAAATATCCAATGTACGCTAGCATGATAAAAAGTAAGTTCAGAAAAGGTATGGAAAAGAAAGAGTTGCTCGAACAAGGCACTAAAATTTTCTCTTTTTTCTGTAACTTTTCTGAGCTACCACATGAGTGTATTGAACAAATATTTAGTTACCTAAGTGATAACGACGTAAGAATTTTAATAGATACTTGTAAGTCTGTTAGTGTCAGTAATCTTAATACTGATATTAATGATGTAACAATTACCTCAAATACATCTAAAGTGCTATGTGTGTAAGTTAAGGAAGAACGAACTACTTTAAACATGACATAACAGCTATAAAAATTAAAAGATTAGTACTTCATTTTATAAATATAGATTACTATCTTATTTTAAAATTATATTTTTGTAAGAGTTTATCGTATTTTACTTTTTTAAAAGTCGGTTTTTTTACGTTTATATTCTCTTGGATATGTTTTCTTATGATGAATCCAAGAAAAACTAGGCTGTTTTATATCTCTCACTTTTGCAAACTTTGTGTCAGATTTTATAACATTTGTACAACGAAAAATTTATACACATTAATCCGATGATACTCTTTCATTGAACANAGTGTAACACGTGTAATTGCTTTTATTAATTTAAAAAATAAAATTGGATTAGAAAACTTTGAATCAATCTTTGTTTTNATCACAGATATATGTATGTATTTTCCTTATATATAATTTTTTAAATATATCAACGATAACATACCTACAGAAAACAAGAACTGCGCTGTGTACGGTGTATAAACGATGCATAATCCAACTATGTTTTTAATTAAGTTATACAATAATTTATTCTATCTGTAATATTTCATCGATATCCGAATCCAAATCAGAATACTTTAAATTTATTTTCTCGAAGAACAATATTATTATCTTTCAGATTTCACGGAGCAGGTTGTGGGAGTGCACTATCCGAAGGTTTTGGTCTGATAAATTTATATACATGAGTTTCCGAGATATGAGAATTCATCGACTGATTACTCAAATTATAGTTTGTTAAATCTTATGAATCTAATATGAATTGAAATTTCAATTAAAAAACACGTGAAAAACGTGAATTCGTTTATATGTGTATACACGCACATATATATATATATATAGCACATTCACGCACAACATCCTGTTAACGGCTCTTAACGTCTCTAGTTTTCAGATATTAGTAAATTTTAAGTTTATGCAAGAATGTGTATGCTAATAAAAGAAAAAGATAAAGAATTTGTGTATGCTAATTCAACTTTGATAAAATATAATATATAATCATATAGCAAGAGAGAATTGTGCATTTAACATAATTACATTCAGAAAATGCAATAATACTTTTATATTTTTAGTATAATTAGATAGTATAAATTAGTTTTAAGAAAATAGTCCTATTATAAGTAATCTCTTGACTGTTGTGCAACTGAGTTTTCTGAATGTAATTTGTCATACAAATATATATACATATACATATATATATATATATATATAAATAAGATAAAAAAGAAAAGATAAGAAATTTTACACTTATCATTTGACTTTTTAAATACAAACTAAAGATAAATCTAAAATGTGTTATCACACACACATTTGATTGTAATTACATAACAGTAATTTTTGCAATTTATATAACACATTACTTGCTTTTTTAGTCTTTTAATGAGATCTTTATATATTGCTCAAATTTAATGCTTCCAACTCTAGAATTTATTATCTGTCCCATTAAAAGCCAATCTAATTCCAGTTAACTTAACTGATCAGTTAAATATTGCCAACTTAAAATTAGTTGGTCTTAACCTAAAATCTTAGAAGCTGTATAGTTTTATAGTTGGTATTTTTTTTAATCAAGTGGTTTGAAGTTAAGTTAACAAGAATTGATGAGACTGATCCTATATAATTGAATGACAGAATTCAAAGAGTTGAAATACGTGCGCGGACTTTGAAATGTATCATTTATATTCGCAAATTGTGACAAGTTTCTGAAAATCGCGTAAAAATCGACGGTATCTCTTCTTATTAACTCGCGATTTGAAAAATTGAAAAACACGTGCATATCATCATTGTCACAGCAACACATGTGAATATGTCCCGTACAGAGCACATCGATATCCAAGAAATATCTCATGAATATCCACTTTGAATATTGAAATATCCAAAGAATATTTATCTCTTGAACATCTGTTGAAAGTATGTAAATACATACCTACCCAGCAAACAATTTCTGTTTTTGACAATTTCGGCGCAGACCTTGGTAACAGAAATTGTTTGCAGAAATGCTACAATACGGAAACACCGCCAAAATTGTTAGCACACAGAAAGAAAAAACGCAACAACTCTGTTGACAAATACATGAGAGTATTGCAG